TCTCGCTGCGTTTGCATAAAGCGCTGAATTTCTAAAGGTTGCTAACGCCTTCGCAGGGTCTGATTCAAAAAAAAACCAACAGACTGATACGAGTCACATCTATTTGATATTTACAAAACAAGACATAATTTACAAGTACAGATTTCAGGACCATTTAGTCCCAGTAATTCGCCAAGTATTTCATGTTCATATGAACAATAACTGTGATGGAATTGATAAATCCCCCAGGTTTGATTCCCAACGAGCTCAAATTCACACTAAAAGGCCAATCTCTGATGCCACATCACTTAATCTACGTAATGTTGTTTGGTTGTTTTATTGTTGGTTTAGGGTTGTGGGTGGTTCTTTGAAGTTAGAATAGTAAGTAGTTAAAAAAAAAAAAAGACAGACCCAAAGCAAACTCACCGAAACTGAGAATAAGGGCATTCCCTCTAGGTTTGAGTGAGTTACCATGGTTGGATGTAGTAAGAGAAAACATTCTGAGGACTGTGTTCTGGATTCCACCCACTCGTCCCAGAAGAGCTTCGCTGCCGGCTCTGGTTATGTGATTTATATACTTGCATGGAACAGAATGAAACCTCAATTACAAAATGTCCCCAACAACATTTTTTTCCAGCAACTGGCAAATACAAGAGATGCGATGTTTAATATCACATTCAGATAGCTCGAACTTCCAATAAAAAAAAGTCTAATGAACAACTAAAGGTTTCAACTCACGTTAGACGTTATAATAATACAATGTAATACAGACACACGTTACTTGTTAGCTCCGGGCAGGTTCAGATGTGAGCTGATCACGCTGAGAATGATCACGGTCCCACCCGCTGCAATTCCACTTGCCATTTGGTTCCCACCAACGCTGCCTTTAATTGACACCGGTGACATTTCAGACATTTTGGGGCAAGGCCAGATTCCCCATCGTCAGCCGACGTGATTTTCTTCCCCGTGACAGTGAGGTGTGTATACGTTGCCCTAAACTTCTTTGTGCGGTTAGAAAAATAAAAGGATGGAAGGAGGAATCCCACCATGGGCTTGACTCGACCAAAGTTCAGATAACTAAGATTCCAACAGAAACTGGAAGTAAAATTCCTTGGACAGAGCCATCTATTTGAGGTGCAAAGCATAGACAAGAGCGTAACAAGGCATCAGCTCAAGGGGCAAGGGAGGCAAAACCCGAGTAGGATGCATTCCTTTGAGATAACGCTCGCAGAGAGCAACAATCTGTGCAGACATCTGATGGAGAGCAAAGGATAAGCTTTCTGCCAGAGCCTTTTAACAATATTACTGTTGTTAGTCAAAAGGCTTCCAAGTCATTAGGGCAAATTACTCAGCGAGCGAACGCGTTCGTGCTCTGCCAGACTCAGCTAGGACCTCGTTTTCTAACAAAGTATACATCTTACGCTGTAGGATTCCAAGTCTTTGCAGAGGAACATGCTGCAGGATCTCTCTAAGTTGCCCTGCTCTTTTTTGCTTGGGCTGCAGATCCAGCCCAAGTGGCAGCAGTGAAGAAATCAACCCACAAAAGCATGGATTTTCAAGCATAAAACTTCAAGAAAAGCACCTTAGTCCTCCTCTTTGGACAGAAAATTCAGAGCCTGCTCTGGGTTACGCTGCCAGAAGAGTTCCAAAGCCCATGACTTTGCATCTCCTCCCAGGGGAGCAGAACTACTTCTGAAAGAAATTCCTGTAGGTAATTCAAGGAATTTGTTGATTTTCACACACTCGGAGGTACCCTTGACTCCTTGGCAGTGCAACACACCTTGTTTCTTTCCCAACGTTACCTTCAAACTTCATTCATTTATCTCGAAAACTTTCAGAAACGCTTCAAAGTGCTCAGCAAGAAAGAGTAGAGAGTATCTCATAAATTGCATTATGTTAGGAATTTTCTCCCAGCAACTTTGGCGGCACTTTGCTATCCTCCAAATAATGCAGAGTGATCGGAATTCACCGAAAAACGCAGAGCAGCAAGCTCCAAATCTTTGGGAAAGATCACTACTGGTATAACGGGCTCTTTGCAAAAAAATACAGAACCCTATGAAGACTTTTATCAGCAGCCTCCTCGATTTCAAATCCCTCATATATAGGCTCTGTTCTGAACAGCATCAGACGTTTTAGAAATATTTTTCTCAGATACGTATCTGGTTCGGTTTCAGCGTTAGCACGAGACAACTTCTTATCAAACAACCACGACCTCTTTTAGCCAGCATGGATGGCCGATTCTTGATATGCTCTCATTTATTTGCAGTTTGCCATAGCTAAAATATTGAACCTCTTTAAAGGATTAAATAGAGATGGAAAGTTCTATAAAATAAAAAGTTGAAAACAAACCCGCAACAGTATTGCCTGAGACCATATAAAACACTTAAAGAATAGGAAGCTTTACCATCCGAAAGATGAAGCTTAAAGACAAAATAATATTGAAAGAAGTGGTTTTGCACGTGAAACATTGCACTTTTAGCATACTTAGACATGCATTGTGGGAACCTGGCAGTCCAGGAATGGCGAAGCTCGGGTCACGCTGGATGACACAGGACTAGGGATGCTCAAGGACACAGAGCTATGTGGATAAAAAAGCAAAAGTCCTCTGCTGCTCTGAAGAATGCTCCTGTATCCTTTTTTTGCCATTAATATTAAAGCTCACTTGGTCAGTAGAGGTTCCAGTTAGGCCCCAGTGTAGCACAGTAGCTAAAATATTAATTCAGGAGGTAATGGAAAGACAAAAGAGAAAAATGGTGAGAGAGAAAGAGCTCCAAGCATCAAGACAAACCACCACCTATATATCGTGACATAAAGCCCCAGATTTATTACTGTGAAATCTTTCCCCTAAGAGGTATTTCTTACTACATTTTTTGTGGCTAAATATAACACTTAAGGAAAAAGAAAAAAAGAGAGAAGAAAAGAGATCATACTGGGACCTATATATTTCTAGGAGATTTCCTGAACTTTGAAACATTTCCTAAAGGCACAGTCTTTCACTCTTAGGGATTTTTCTACGGAGAAGTCTAGCACAACAACAAAGCCCTCCCAGCTTAAATAATTTGAGCCCAACCCGTCGCAAAAAAAAAAAAAGTATCTCTTCTGAGCCATTCTGAATCATTTCGCTATGCCGGTGAATCAGTCAACACATTAAGCGTAACGATCCTCTCCAGACCGCGACAAAGAGCTCTCAATCCACGCGGTACCATATGTCTGCGGATTCCTGTCGGAATGAGCAACCAGAGAACTTGGTTTTTAATCACCGCAGCTACGGATCCTGCAGCGCTGAAGGGGCACAGGTGTGGGGCAGCATTGGGAAAAGACTCTTCCTGGATAGGAAGTACGTGATATACAAAATTTTTAAAAGAAGCTATAAAATCTCTAGACTTGTGAAATATTTAGGGCTCCCCTGTGAATTTACAGGGGCCTCCCTCCCAGCACACAAACCAGCTGAGCCTCAAGCATTCCACCCAGGAAACACGCAGAACACATCAAAACTAAGCAACAAAAGAAAAATACAAGTGCAATTCAAATTCAAACATAGATACACCCTTCGTATATTGGCTAGAGCCTACGTAAGCGCAAAAAGTCCTCTTTTTATTCCAGTATTCGTAATGTTTAAACACGAAATCTATAGAAACACAGTATTAACTAAACCGTTAGTACTCCGGTTTCCTTTAATTCAAAAGCCACAGGTTTCTTCCATGCTTGTTTTGCTGCCTATTCATAGAAGGGGAAAACATCTCACATGAATTCTGAGCTAATTAGAAAAAAGTTCCCTTCCCCAGGTCATTAAATGATCAATATGCAAGTTCCTAAAAAAAGTTGCTTTTTCACTAGCGCCCAACCCTCCATTCCCCTGTTCGAGAAACGCGAAGTACAGAGTGCACAGCAATATTTGGATTTGCTGATACGTACAGAAACGTAGCTGTGCTATAAAATCACAGCTCTTGACTAAATAAATATAAAGAAAAGCACATATGCTGTCCAGCATAAACATGGTACATGCAAGAAATCTAAAGCCACAGCCACAGAGAAAATTTTAGATCCATTTAGGCGCTTGCATGAGCCCAACCTCACTTGGATTATAACTCTGGAGGGTTTTACTCGAAGCCGTAACCTAAGAGCAGTGATGCAGCAAAGCTTTCATTGCACCAAAACCTGCATCTCGGGGCTAAGGCTTCCCGATGCAGCTCAGAGCCACCCATAGCAATGCGACTATAAAGTATATTAGATATTATAGAACTTCATTTATTTTACATTCCTCCGTGCAGTTGGTACCTGTTTGTCTCAGGCTGTTCAGCCTAAATCTAAGTCACAAATCTGGCCGTTGATTAGCTCTTAATTTTTGTTCGTTAACGGGATCCTAATTCTGCCTTAAGCCGTCTCGCAGGATTTCACCAAGCTCCCCCGCTCAGAATTTGGAATATCCAAGTAAGGCTTCAATCCTCTAAGATAATCGCCCTATCTTCCCTTTTGAATACATCCGTGGGAGATCAGGGCCGACTCTCTGAAAAATCTCCTAAATCCTCGTTACCAAAATCCAGAAGGGAGAGAAGCTGGTGCCAACCTCCCGGAAAGCATCACGCAGTCACACCCGCTGCAGCAAGAGAAACCT